TCCAAGCATCTGCCTCTAACCCTAGGAAGCTCTTTGCCACATTCTCCTCACTGCTGAATCCCCCCCCCCCTCCTCCCTCTCTGTGGATGACTTTGTCAACCACTTTGAAAAGAAGGTTGACGACATCCGATCCTCGTTTGTTAAGTCTAATGACACTGCTGGTCCTGCTCACACTGCCCTACCCTATGCTTTGACTTCTTTCTCCCCTCTCTCTCCAGATAAAATCTTGCGACTAGTGACTGCAGGCCGCCCAACAACCTGCCCGCTTGACCCCATCCCCTCCTCTCTTCTCCAGACCATCTCCGGTGACCTTCTCCCCTACCTCACCTCGCTGATCAACTCATCCTTGACCGCTGGCCATGTCCCTTCCGTCTTCAAGAGAGCGAGAGTTGCACCCCTTCTCAAAAAACCAACACTCGATCCCACTGATGTCAACAATTACAGACCAGTATCCCTTCTTTCTTTTCTTTCCAAAACTATTGAGCGTGCCGTCTTTAGCCAACTCTCTTGCTATCTCTCTCAGAATGACCTTCTTGATCCAAACCAGTCAGGTTTCAGGACTGGTCATTCAACTGAGACTGCTCTTCTCTGTGTCACGGAGGCTCTCCGCACTGCTAAAGCTAACTCTCTCTCCTCTGCTCTTGTCCTTCTAGACCTGTCTGCTGCCTTTGATACAGTGAACCATCAGATCCTCCTCTCCACCCTCTCCGAGCTGGGCATCTCCGGCGCGGCTCACTCCTGGATTGCGTCCTACCTGACCGGTCGCTCCTACCAAGTGGCGTGGCGAGAAGCTGTCTCCGCACCACGTGCTCTCACCACTGGTGTCCCCCAGGGCTCAGTTCTAGGCCCTCTCCTTTTCTCCCTATACACCAAGTCACTTGGCTCTGTCATATCCTCACATGGCCTCTCCTATCATTGCTACGCTGACGATACACAACTAATCTTCTCCTTTCCCCCTTCTGATAACCAGGTGGCGAATCGCATCTCTGCATGTCTGGCCGACATATCAGTATGGATGACGGATCACCACCTCAAGCTGAACCCTGGCAAGACGGAGCTGCTCTTCCTCCCGGGGAAGGACTGCCCGTTCCATGATCTCGCCATCACGGTTGACAACTCCGTTGTGTCCTCCTCCCAGAGTGCGAAGAGCCTTGGCGTGACCCTGGACAACACCCTGTCGTTCTCCGCCAACATCAAGGCGGTGACCCGATCCTGCAGGTTCATGCTCTACAACATTCGGAGAGTACGACCCTGCCTTACACAGGAAGCGGCACAGGTCCTAATCCAGGCACTTGTCATCTCCCGTCTGGATTACTACAACTCGCTGTTGGCTGGGCTCCCTGCCTGTGCCATTAAACCCCTACAACTCATCCAGAATGCCGCAGCCCGTCTGGTGTTCAACCTTCCCAAGTTCTCTCACGTCACCCCCCTCCTCCGCACACTCCACTGGCTTCCAGTTGAAGCTCGCATCCGTTACAAGACCATGGTGCTTGCCTATGGAGCAGTGAGGGGAACGGCACCTCCGTACCTTCAGGCTCTGATCAGTCCCTACACCCAGGCGAGGGCATTGCGTTCATCCACCTCTGGCCTGCTGGCTCCCCTTCCTCTGCGGAAGCATAGTTCCCGCTCAGCCCAGTCAAAGCTGTTCGCTGCTCTGGCACCCCAAAGGTGGAACAAGCTCCCTCACGACGCCAGGACAGCGGAGTCACTCACCACCTTCCGGAGACATTTGAAACCCCACCTCTTTAAGGAACACCTGGGATAGGATAAAGTAATCCTTCTAGGCAGAAGTCAGTAATCCAGATCAGAGTCCAAAAGGTACAGAACAGGAGGCAGTCTCAGGGCCAGGGCAGGCAGAGGTCAATAATCCAGGGTGGTGTGACAAGGTACAGAACGGCAGGCAGAATGGTAAAAACCGGGAAAACAGGAACTTGAAAAAGACAGGTGCAAGGGGAAAACCACTGGTAGGCTTGACGAAACAAAACGAACTGGCAACAGACAAACAGAGAACACAGGTATAAATACACTGGAGATTATGGGGAAGATGGGCGACACCTGGAGGGGGGTGAAGACAATCACAACGACAGGTGAAACAGATCAGGGTGTGACACAGGGTCTAATAACTATCACTAAGGCAACCGATATGCTTTAAGGGCAAAAAGATAATTAGAAGGCCAAAAAGATAATCAAGGACATCAACCGAGCCACGGCCTGTTCACCCCGCTATCATCCAGAAGGTGAGGTCAGTACAGGTGCATCAAAGCTGGGACCAAGGCCATCAGACTATTAAATAGCCATCACTAGCCGGCTTCCACCCGGTTACTCAACCCTGCACCTTAGAGGCTGCTGCCCTATGTACATAGACATGGAATCACTGGTCACTTTAATAATGGAACACTAGTCACTTTAATAATGTTTACATACTGCTTTACTCATTTCATATGTACAGTGAGGGAAAAAAGTATTTGATCCCCTGCTGATTTTGTACGTTTGCCCACTGACAAAGACATGATCAATCTATAATTTTAATGGTAGGTTTTTTTGAACAGTGAGAGACAGAATAACAACAATAACATCCAGAAAAACGCATGTCAAAAATGTTATAAATTTATTTGCATTTTAATTAGGGAAATAAGTATTTGACCCCTCTGCAAAACATGACTTAGTACTTGGTAGCAAAAACCTTGATGGCAATCACAGAGGTCAGACGTTTCTTGTAGTTGGCCACCAGGTTTGCACACATCTCAGGAGGGATTTTGTCCCACTCCACTTTGCAGATCTTCTCCAAGTCATTAAGGTTTCGAGCCTGACGTTTGGCAACTCGAACCTTCAGCTCCCTCCACAGATTTTCTATGGGATTAAGGTCTGGAGACTGGCTAGGCCACTCCAGGACCTTAATGTGCTTCTTCTTGAGCCACTCCTTTGTTGCCTTGGCCGTGTGTTTTGAGTCATTGTCATGCTGGAATACCCATCCACGACCCATTTTCAATGCCCTGGCTGAGGGAAGGAGATTCTCACCAAAGATTTGACGGTACATGGCCCCGTCCATCGTCCCTTTAATGCGGTGAAGTTGTCCTGTCCCCTTAGCAGAAAAACACCCCCAAATCCACCTCCATGTTTGACGGTGGGGATGGTGTTCTTGGGGTCATAGGCAGCATTCCTCCTCCTCCAAACACGGCGAGTTGAGTTGATGCCAAAGAGCTCCATTTTGGTCTCATCTGACCACAACACTTTCACCCAGTTCTCCTCTGAATCATTCAGATGTTAATTGGAAAACTTCAGACGGGCCTGTATATGTGCTTTCTTGAGCAGGGGGACCTTGCGGGCGCTGCAGGATTTCAGTCCTTCACGGCGTAGTGTGTTACCAATTGTTTTCTTGGTGACTATGGTCCCAGCTGCCTTGAGATCATTGACATGATCCTCCCGTGTAGTTCTGGGATGATTCCTCACCGTTCTCATGATCATTGCAACTCCACGAGGTGAGATCTTGCATGGAGCCCCAGGCCGAGGGAGATTGACAGTGCTTTTGTGTTTCTTCCATTTGCGAATAATCGCACCAACTGTTGTCACCTTCTCACCAAGCTGCTTGGCGATGGTCTTGTAGCCCATTCCAGCCTTGTGTAGGTCTACAATCTTGTCCCTGACATCATTGGAGAGCTCTTTGGTCTTGGCCATGGTGGAGAGTTTGGAATCTGATTGATTGATTGCTTCTGTGGACAGGTGTCTTTTATACAGGTAACAAACTGAGATTAGGAGCACTCCCTTTAAGAGTGTGCTCCTAATCTCAGCTCGTTACCTGTATAAAAGACACCTGGGAGCCAGAAATCTTTCTGATTGAGAGGGGGTCAAATACTTATTTCCCTCATTAAAATGCAAATCAATTTATAACATTTTTGACATGTGTTTTTCTGAATTTTTTTGTTGTTATTCTGTCTCTCACTGTTCAAATAAACCTACCATTACAATTATAGACTGATCAATTTTTTGTCATTGGGCAAACGTACTTAATCAGCAGGGGATCAAATACTTTTTTCCCTCACTGTATATACTGAATTATATTCTACTGTGTTTTAGTCAATGCCACTCCGACATTGCTCGTCCTAATATTTATATATTTCTTAATTCCATTATTTTACTTTTAGATTTGTGTGTATTGTTAGATACTACTGCACTGTTGAAGCTAGGAACACAAGCATTTCGCTACACCCGCAATAACATCTGCTAAATATGTATATGTGACCAATAAGATTTTATTTGATTTCATGCCAGTCTGCAAATTACGGGGAGCCAGGGGGGGCTCAGCCCCCATGAATGAGACATGAGCTCCCCTAAATGCAACAAAAGTCAAACTTTGGTGGGTCTCTAATTTAACCATTCTCCTACTTGTTTAAAATGCCCTTTTGTACTGCTACAGTGGTAAATATGAAAACAAAATCTTATTCGAAATTAAACCAACATCCCAGCCTCTCTGGCATGGTTTAAACCAGTGACAGTTAGTTCAGGTTCTTTCAATCACATTAACCTCACTACTCCTCCTGTCTTGTCTGCCTCTCTCTGTCTGTCTTGAGCTTTCAATAGCAAAAACATTGTATCGACTGGGCCTAATGACAAATGCTGAATGGTGTTTTGTAACAGATGTCTCGTTCCCTTCATCAAATAGTGGGTGCACACTGCACTGTTTGGATGCTGGAATTATTTTGGAGTGGACGAACGTATGCAGATAGCCTACATTTTGAAGTGATTTGTTTGACAATCAGATGAAAACATCATGACTGGTTGTGTTCATGCCACATTAAAAGGTTTTTACTATTAGGCCCATAAAAAAAAGTCTAACAAATTTCCTACAAATAGGAAGTCCAGTGAAGAAAATAGAGACCCCCGAATGTCACGGTATAATTCGCACTCTGCCTCATGCCCTCTTTCGCCTTCTCTCTATTTGGAATCCATTTGGAATACCTGTTCTAACCAATTAATCTGTTTCTGTCTGGTTGGCTGTGTAGTGTCTCGGGATTGTCACCGTGTCCTCTGAAGAGTTACTGCATCGGCAGAAGAGAGTCTGGATCATAGAAACTTTTAAGATCGAAGAGTCGAGGCCTGGACCTTATCCTTATGAACTGGGGAAAGTAAGTAAAGACCATAGTCTTTTGTCGAGAGAGTGGAATTTCCTCATTTTTCCATGTAATCACGTGCATTGAGTTGAAACACACACACATGCACACACGCATGCATACACACGCGCACGCATACACACATGCAGACACACACACACACACACACACAAAGTCACACACAAAGTTATGCATTTAATTGATGTGTTGTTTTGTTTTATATTAATGTTGAGGAGAAGTTCAAGGTGGGTTTCCATCTAAAAGATCATGGTGTTGATCTGGAGCCCAAAGGAAAACTGTCCATCGACACAGACACTGGAAAGATCTTAGTTCATGGAGAACTAGACTACGAGCTTTGCCAGATACTTAAGGTGAGAAGGAAGGGAACTCATTATTGCATAAATGTTAGTTTAGTTTGGTTTAATTTAGTTGTCTTTAATTTATTGCTAGATTTTTTTGATTGTTTGTTTGATTGGTTGATTAATTACTTGATTGATTCATATCGTCGTTATCACATGGGACTACAGCTGACATTTGAGGCCAGATATGAATCCAGTAACCAAGCACACACCCAACTGGGAGTGGAAGTGGAGGTTCTAGACATCAATGACAACCCACCTGTTTTCGAATTGGACACTTACCACACCAACCTTAAAGAGTCTGCCTCACAAGGTAGGGTGACCACCACATGTCCCGGATTGTGCCAGACAGTCCTGCATTTTGGCCCTTTGTCCCGCAACCAAACAATCATGTCCCACATTTTATCAACAAATTCAAACACACTCATTTAGAAAAAAGGCCAATTTGTCCCGTATTTCAGTCAGACATTTCGACCTGTCTCTTGCAGTCATGTTGCGCTTATGAAAATATATACATCACTTCTCCAATCATTGTTGAGATCTGATATTCTGCGCAGCGCAAGACGAGATGTAGGCCAATGTCATAGGCCTATCTTCATCCAATCATATTTCTCTAAATTTCTCTAAATTCAAGCTAAACTTGGAGAGGACAGTTACATGCTGACTAGCCCGGGAACACACGTGCGCCATCGTGCATGTTGATTTCATATGTTCTCTACTCTACAATTAATCCACAGATAAAAGGGGAAACCTAGTTGGTTTCGAGTAATCTCTCCTCCTTCAGTCTTCTTCATCTTCTGTGGACTTTATATGGCGGTTGGCCACCAACTGGACTGGAGTGTGGACCTCAGTTCAACTTTCAATCACACATGTAGGTACAGTTGAAGTCGGAAGTTTACATACACTTAGGTTGGAGTCATTAAAACTCGTTTTTCAACCACTCCACGAATTTCTTGTAAACAAACTATAGTTTTGGCAAGTCAGTTAGGACATCTACTTTGTGCATGACACAATTAATTTTTCCAACAATTGTTTACAGACAGATTATTTCACTTATAATTCACTGTATCACAATTCCAGTGGGTCAGAAGTTTACATACACTAAGTTGACTGTGCCTTTAAACAGCTTGGAAAATTCCAGAAAATGATGTCATGGCTTTAGAAGCTTCTGATAGGCTAATTGACGTCATTTGAGTCAATTGGAGGTGTATCTGTGGATGTATTTCAAGGCCTACCTTCAAACTCAGTGCCTCTTTGCTTGACATCATGGGAAAATCCAAAGAAATCAGCCAAGACCTCAGAAAAAAAAGTGTAGACCTCCACAAGTCTGGTTCATCCTTGGGAGCAATTTCCAAACACCTGAAGGTACCACGTTCATCTGTACAAACAATAGTACGCAAGTATAAACACTTTGGTGTGAAATATGCAAATAAATCCCAGAACAACAGCAAAGGACCTTATGAAGATGCTACAGGAAACAGCTACAAAAGTATCTATATCCACAGTAAAACGAGTCCTATATCGACATAACCTGAAAGGCCGCTCAGCAAGGAAGAAGCCACTGCTCCAAAACCGCCATAAAAAAGCCAGACTACGGTTTGCAACTGCACATGGGGACAAAGATCGTGCTTTTTGGAGAAATGTCCTCTGGTCTGATGAAACAAAAAACTGTTTGGCCATAATGACCATCATTATGTTTGGAGGAAAAAGGGGATTGCTTGCAAGCCGAAGAACACCATCCCAACCGTGAAGCACGGGGTGGCAGCATCATGCTGTGGGGGTACTTTGCTGCAGGTTGGACTGGTGCACTTCACAAAATAGATGGCATCATGAGGAAGGAAAATTATGTGGATATATTGAAGCAACATCTCAAGACATCAGTCAGGAAGTTAAAGCTTGGTCACAAATGGGTCTTCCAAATGGACAATGACCCCAAACATACTTTCAAAGTTGTGGCGAAATGGCTTAAGGACAACAAAGTCAAGGTATTGGAGTAGCCCTGACCTCAATCCTATAGATAATATGTGGGCAGAACTGAAAAGGCGTGTGCGAGCAAGGAGGCCTACAAACCTGACTCAGTTACACCAGCTCTGTCAGGAGGAATGGGCCAAAATTCACCCAACTTATTGTGGGAAGCTTGTGGAAGGCTACCCGAAACGTTTGACCCAAGTTAAACAATTTAAAGGCAATGCTACCAAATACTAATTGAGTGTATGTATACTTCTGACCCACTGGGAATGTGATGAAAGAAATAAAAGCTGAAATAAATCATTCTCTCTACTACACTGCTCAAAAAAATAAAGGGAACACTTAAACAACACAATGTAACTCCAAGTCAATCACACTTCTGTGAAATCAAACTGTCCACTTAGGAAGCAACACTGATTAACAATAAATGTCACATGCTGTTGTGCAAATGGAATAGACAACAGGTGGAAATTATAGGCAATTAGCAAGACATCCCCCAATAAAGGACTGGTTTTGCAGGTGGTGACCACAGACCACTTCTCAGTTCCTATGCTTCCTGGCTGATGTTTTGGTCACTTTTGAATGCTGGCGGTGCTTTCACTCTAGTGGTAGCATGAGACGTAGTCTACAACCCACACAAGTGGCTCAGGTAGTGCAGCTCATCCAGGATGGCACATCAATGCGAGCTGTGGCAAGGTTTGCTGTGTCTGTCAGCGTAGTGTCCAGAGCATTGAGGCGCTACCAGGAGACAGGCCAGTAAATCAGGAGACGTGGAGGAGGCTGTAGGAGGGCAACAACCCAGCAGCAGGACTGCTACCTCTGCCTTTGTGCAAGGAGGAGCAGGAGGAGCACTGCCAGAGCCCTGCAAAATGACCTCCAGCAGGCCACAAATGTGCATGTGTCTGCTCAAACGGTCAGAAACAGACTCAATGAGGGTGGTATGAGGGCCCGACGTCCACAGGTGGGGGTTGTGCTTACAGCCCAACACCGTGTAGGACGTTTGGCATTTGTCAGAGAACACCAAGATTGGCAAATTCGCCACTGGCGCCCTGTGCTCTTCACAGATGAAAGCAGGTTCACACTGAGCACATGTGACAGACGTGACAGAGTCTGGAGACGCCGTGGAGAACGTTCTGCTGCCTGCAACATCCTCCAGCATGACCGATTTGGCGGTGGGTCAGTCATGGTGTGGGGTGGCATTTCTTTGGGGGGCCGCACAGCCCTCCATGTGCTCGCCAGAGGTAGCCTGACTGCCATTAGGTACCGAGATGAGATCCTCAGACCCCTTGTGAGACCATATGCAGGTGCGGTTGGCCCTGGGTTCCTCCTAATGCAAGACAATGCTAGACCTCATGTGGCTGGAGTGTGTCAGCAGTTCCTGCAAGAGGAAGGGATTGATGCTATGGACTGGCCCGCCCGTTCCCCAGACCTGAATCCAATTGAGCACATCTGGGACATCGCTCCATCCACCAACGCCACGTTGCACCACAGACTGTCCAGGAGTTGGCGGATGCTTTAGTCCAGGTCTGGGAGGAGATCCCTCAGGAGACCATCCGCCACCTCATCAGGAGCATGCCAAGGCGTTGTAGGGAGGTCATACAGGCACGTGGAGGCCATACACACTACTGAGCCTCATTTTGACTTGTTTTAAGGACATTACATCAAAGTTGGATCAGCCTGTAGTGTGGTTTTCCACTTTAATTTTGAGGGTCTCCAAATCCAGACCTCCATGGGTTGATACATTTGATTTCCATTGATAATTTGTGTATGATTTTGTTGTTAGCACATTCAACTATGTAAAGAAAAAGGTATTTAATAAGATTATTTCATTCATTCAGATCTAGGATGTGTTATTTTAGTGTTCCCTTTATTTTTTTGAGCAGTGTATTATCCTGACATTTCACATTCTTAAAATAAAGTGGTGATCCTAACTGACCTAAAACAGGGATTTTTTACTAGGATTAAATGTCAGGAATTGTGAAAAACTGAGTTTAAATGTATTTGGCTAAGGTGTATGTAAACTTCCGACTTCAACTGTATATGCACCTAAAAACCAATGAGGAGATGGGAGAGGCGGGACTTGCAGCGTGTCAAGCGTCAAAAATAGAACCAAGTTCTCTTTTAGCGCCTGGCTACGCAGACGCTCGTTGACATGCACGAGCAATTTGGATGAAATTGTCGAAAAACATTTTGTAACGCTCTCGCACGTGAGTTTGTTTGTTTGTTTCTTTTCTTTCTTTCTTTCTATCTTTCTTTCTTGTATTTATTGCAGATAAAGGAAAACCACACTGTAGGTGGTTATGAGTGTGAATGTTTATGATGTATTGTTAAAACCGACACAAACTGCAGACATTAACAATGGATTTTGTTGCGAAACCACGCACAGAGTAAACATTTTCAGTGAACCTGCATTTTCCTTCCTCATTATGAATTTGGGGCCTTTGAAACCATCAAATCAAATCAAATCAAATTTTATTGGCCACATGCGCCGAATACAACAGGCGTAGACATTACAGTGAAATGCTTACTTACAGCCCTTAACCAACAGTGCATTTATAGTCCGGGTAGCCGTGATTAGCTGTTCAGGAGTCTTATGGCTTGGGGGTAGAAGCTGTTGAGAAGTCTTTTGGACCTAGACTTGGCACTCCGGTACCGCTTGCCGTGCGGTAGCAGAGAGAACAGTCTATGACTAGGGTGGCTGGAGTCTTTGACAATTTTGAGGGCCTTCCTCTGACTAACCTTAACTCTCTGTTTCCTATCATGTCAGGAGATTCCCTGATAGCTGTAATGGCAACAGATAAAGATCAAAGCAGCACAAACAATGGCACATTTGACCTGAAGATTGTCTCCGTCACCCCTACACCCCCAGACAACCTGGAGTTTTTCCTTGAGCAAAGTAGTAAAAATGGAACCATCAAATTCAAAGGGTGTCTGGACCATGAGGTAAGAGGGGCCTCTATGTATCTATAGTATTTCTTTCATTAACTTTTAACTATAGTGTGACTGACTGTTTCAATCATCCACTTCAGAAAGCAGAGAAATACACCATCCTGGCGGAGGCTAAAGATCGTGGAGAGGTTGTTCAGCTCTCCAGTAACTGTACAGTCATCATCAATATAGTGGAAGGAAACAACCATCTGCCTGTCTTCACTGGGCAAACGGTGGGCAACATCATTCTATCCTCCTCACTTCTTCACAAGAACTCGCGGGAGTATTTGATCAAATACATGAATGAATCTCCATAACCTCAACTGTGACTCTCTTATAATGTTCCATCATCCTGAGAAATGTTATTTCAGGGTGCAGGAAACATCAAGGAGAAAGACAGCAGTGATGTACCAGTTCTTCAGCTTCAAGTTTCAGACCAAGATACCAAAGGTACTGAAGCCTGGAAGGCCAAATACACTATCCACGGAGACAAGGACCAGAACTTCAGAATCACCACTGACCCAGAGACCAACGAAGGAGTCTTGTTTCTTGAAAAGGTCTGTTACCTGTCAAATAAGTCAATGCCACCTAAATAAGATAATGTATTTGAAATTACTCACATTTTCTGCAATTTACATTAAGTTGTTGTATGAAAAATTTATGCACTCACTAACTGTAAGTCGCTCTGGATAAGAGCGTCTGCTAAATGACTAAAATGTAAATGTATTAATCATCTTATGTTTTTTTGTTTTGTTTTTTGCAATCAAACTAATAGCAGACCTGTAGTAGTAGCTGATGAACTGTGCTTAAAGCTGTGGTTGCAATAATCATATCCCTGTATCCATTTGTTTGACTAAACACTAAATCATCCTTCTAAAACCCACATTCTCCCTCTGTCTCCTGCCAGCCTCTGGACTATGAGGACGGCTCTCTGAAGAACCTGTCAGTCAGCGTGGAAAACGAGGTGCCCTACTTCTCTTGTAAGGTCAAAGGTCGTCCCGCCACAGGCCTGTGGAATGTGGTCACCACAGGGGGGACATATTTGACAGGCATCACACCGCCCCTGCTGTCCACCCGCATGGTGGAGGACGTCAACGACCCCCCCATCTTCACCCACGCCGTCAAAACTGTGATGGTGGAGGAGAACGTGGAGGTGGGCCATCGACCTAGACAGGAGCCACGCCAACACCTTCGCGTTAGACTGGGAATTTACTGTTCTATAGCATCTTCCTACTGTTCTAAAGCATCTCCTACTGTTCTGCAGCACCTCCTACTGTTCTGCAGCACCTCCTACTGTTCTGCAGCACCTCCTACTGTTCTAAAGCATCTCTTACTGTTCTGCAGCATCTCCTACTGTTCTGCAGCACCTCCTACTGTTCTATAGCACATCATACTGTTCTATAGCATCGCATACTGTTCTATAGCATCTCTTACTGTTCTATAGCATCTCTTACTGTTCTGCAGCACCTCCTACTGTTCTATAGTATCTCTTACTGTTCTATAGCATCTCCTACTGTTCTATAGCATCTCCTACTGTTCTATAGCATCTCTTACTGTTCTATAGCATATCCTACTGTTCTGCAGCACCTCCTACTGTTCTGTAGCACCTCCTACTGTTCTGTAGCACCTCCTACTGTTCTGCAGCACCTCCTACTGTTCTGCAGCACCTCCTACTGTTCTATAGCATCTCCTACTGTTCTATAGCACCTCCTACTGTTTTGCAGCACCTCCTACTGTTCTGCAGCACCTCCTACTGTTCTATAGCATCTCCTACTGTTCTATAGCACCTCATACTGTTCTGCAGCACCTCCTACTGTTCTGTAGCACCTCCTACTGTTCTGTAGCACCTCCTACTGTTTTGCAGCACCTCCTACTGTTCTGCAGCACCTGCTACTGTTCTGCAGCACCTCCTACTGTTCTATACCATCTCCTACTGTTCTATAGCACCTCCTACTGTTCTATAGCACACCCTACTGTTCTATAGCACCTCATACTGTTCTATAGCATCTCTTACTGTTCTGCAGCATCTCCTACTGTTCTATAGCATCTCTTACTGTTCTATAGCACCTCCTACTGTTCTATAGCATCTCCTACTGTTCTATAGCATCTCCTACTGTTCTATAGCATCTCTTACTGTTCTATAGCATCTCTTACTGTTCTATAGCACCTCCTACTGTTCTATAGCATCTCCTACTGTTCTATAGCATCTCCTACTGTTCTATAGCATCTCTTACTGTTCTATAGCATCTCTTACTGTTCTATAGCATCTCCTACTGTTCTGCAGCATCTCCTACTATTCTGCAGCACCTCCTACTGTTTTGCAGCACCTCCTACTGTTCTGCAGCACCTCCTACTGTTCTGCAGCACCTCCTACTGTTTTGCAGCCTCTCCAACTGTTTATCATACTAGACTGGAAATTTAGCTCAGTTCTCTGTTTTTACAGTGTATTACCAGTTTATTACTATAATTAATTTTACTTCAGCAATAACCACAGATAATTATTGATCTTATCAAAATAAAAGTGTCATACTTTAATAATATGTTGTGATGATAAATACAACTTATTTGCATTAGTTTGCGAGAGCTGTAGCCGAACATACAGCTAACAGGCCCAAACCATGTCTTGTAGGTACTTAAAAGGAGTGGACCCAGGTGACTGGGTTGCAGTAGATGCAAAGACTGGCAAAATAACCACAACTAAGATCTTAGACCGAGAGTCAAGTTACTTGAAGGACAATGACACTGTTTGCTGTTGATGATGGTAAGAACCAAAAACATTACTCCAATATAGTAAATTAAACCAATATCAGTGAAAAACACTCAGCATATCATCCACAGTACAACCAGTATTTTTCAGTTGAGTTTCTCTGATTGACAGGCCAGCCTCCCTTGACCGGAACTGGAACGCTCAACATCCATCTAAAGGACCAGAATGACAACCTTCCAGAGCTGGAGATGGCCACCATGGACATGTGTCTGTCAGATGAGCCATCCAAGGTCAACATCACAGCCTACGACCTGGATGGAGAGCCCTACAGCGAGACCCTTCTACTTCCAGCTCCAAGGGGACGACGTCAATGGCAAGTGGAGGATTGACCCTGGCAATGGTGAGGTTTTCCTCCTCATAAAGCCGCGGACACTCTTAGAAAAAATGTGTTCCATAAGGGTTCTTCGGCTGTCCCCATAGGAGAACCCTTTTGGTTACAGGTAGAACCTTTTTGGATTCTGATAGAACCCTTTTGGGTTTCATGTAGAACCATCTGTGGAAAGAGTTCTACATGGAACCCTATGGGGACAGCCGAAGAACCCTGTTAGGTTCTAGAAAGCACCTTTTTTTTTTCTGTACAAACTATCTGGCCTCTCATTCCTCATACATTATTCCATATCGTCTCTTTGACCCTTTACACACCACTATTGTAGGTTTCACACACCTCAAGTAGGCCCAAGTCTCATACTATAGGCAGGCATAAACTAGCTAAACTAATTTCTCAGTACACATCCCTCCAGGTTACACAGTGAACCTGGTGAAGCAGAATACAGTGTACGCAGGTCACCTCGAGCTGCTGCTGAAGGTGTTTGACCAGCAGGGTCAGGGAGCCCTCCACAACCTGTCCGTCACCGTGTGTGACTGCTCCGGTGTTTCCAGCTGCCGTCTCGGCAGGGTCACTGTAACCAGGATTGGAGTGAGCGCTGTAGGGATTGTCAACGCTGTCATGCTGCTACTGCTAGGTAAATCAACCTTAGGAGTAGGGTGAAGATTCCCCTAGATGTTGATCATGGGTCAGTTTAGCATTTTCCCCACTTATGGTTAAGGCTAGGATTGGGGGAGGGAAAGCTGATCCTAGATCTGTCTCTAGGGGAAACTTCACCCCGGAGCTGACTCTTACGCTTGAGAATGACATACTGTCCTACATCCCCACCTAGTGTTGATTTGGTATAGTTAGTTAGAACTTCAGTTAGTGTGTGTGTGGAGATTTGTATTTATTCAAATTAAAATGTGTGTGTGTTCCTCCTAGGTTTTCTACTGTTGTCCCTCCTGTTGACCTGTAAAAGAGAACTGAAACTGATCCCTACAGATGAAAACTCTGAAGAATGTCAGATCAAATATAACATTGAAATCCCAGGAACTGATTGCAAGGTAACAACAGACAATATTAACATCAGATGTTCATCTCTCGTCATTGCTTTTTTTCCATCATAATTTACAATATTCTGTTTTTGATCATAGGTACCTACACTTATCACAATCCAAGTGGACAGTCAGCTGGGAACAAAAGCTGCTTTTCAACCTATCAAGATGACGTCGGTTAGGAAACCAGCAATATTCAATCACCATTCATCAGTATTATTTTGGTTCACACTGGGCATATTTGACAAATGGAAAATTGTTGATCCATGCAAAGTAAATATGATACAGTATCTTTCCCCAGGCTGTACAGAGGTCCGCCAGTATTCGAGCACCGGTATGTTCAGAGTATTTTCCCTCATACCAAGAGCAACAACAGGGACAGTTTCAACAAGGAACCTCTCTGCGCAAGGTAGGCTATAGAAGTCTAATATATCTACTACCTTCATCCACTTTTGGATGAATTACATTTTCAGTGGCACTGAACTACAGCAACATTTTGAATTTTGTTTGAGTGCGCCCACAAAATTACACTCCAATGGTTATGGACAGGTATTTCAAAATCTAATATTTCAATTAAATCTGTCAACACTATTTTTTCTGAGACTTTCACTTGACTAATGTTGCATTGTATTGGTTGTATGTGTGTTCTGTGTAGTGATAGTATGTTTCTGATCACTCAGGGGTCAATAATGAGCAGATCAATGATGACAAAAACAAGATACTCCTCATGGGGAGAAAATAATTGTCTCAATAACTCCGGGCCCCTGATGACTCTACTCAATCATGTAACAATATGCAACAGTCATAAACAACCATGCTCTGTGACAAAAAAACTTTCTAATAGTGATTTTTTAAATCTACTATCTGGTGAACTCTGTTTTATTCATTCATTAACCTTTTTGTGACCACCAATCCCTCTATCTATCCATCCCTCCCCCTCCAGAGGATAAGCATCCTGCAGGTTCCCGGAGAAGAGCTGGGGGACTATGCCCCCCACCCCTACGCTGAAGAGGGGGACCTAGAGACAGACCTCCAGCTGGATGCTATCTCCATCCCTGAGACCCCCTTCGACCAGGACAAGCTACTCTACCTGGGTGCCAGTTTCAACACTCTGGCCTCCATCTGCAACACCCCAGACCCCAGCGCATCCTAAGCCCACCTCACCCTCACCCTGTGGGGCAAGAGGCTCTGCCAGGACTGGCTAGTTAGTATGGGCATAACAGGCTAGGTACCGGACAGTTTCATGGATAATAAACTGGATCGGATCACTCATGCTTAAAAATGAGAGAACAGCAAACCTGCTCTTGCAAAATCTGGATAACAACAAGCAATGTCAAACTTCACAAAAAAAGCATAAAATACACACAGGACTGTGGAGATCAATGACCAATACAAAGACCAATATGGAACTCAGTGCTGGAAGGAGAACAATGGAATTTACCAATGGATCTTACATGGGCAGTAGCTATGGAAAGCTGTGCTGTAAGGAGCCTGGTTGTACACATCAGGCATGCTACATTCTACTGTACACTGGCTGGATTGACCAGCCAGCACAAACCAAAAAAGGATTTCTGCACTGAGAACACACAGACCGGGGAAGTGAGCGACATGGAGTGGAAAATACTTGGAATGTCAATTACTTTTTAGCTCTGTGATTTTACGAATGCGATGGCTGCAATGAAGTAGTGCTAGAATGGTGAATTAGAGAAAGAGGTTGGTCTTTTCACATTCCACACCATCTCTTACCTCTTACCAAGATACATCGAGCCAAAATAGTCTAATAATGTTATATATGATGGTTATGTTTAAGATTATCAATTAAACCCTTGGGCTGAAAGGTTTGGGCTTCAATCCAGTTGTTTTATTTGGGTGTATATATTGGTGTGGTCTTTTAATGTATATTCTATATGGTATATAAATAAAGGTAATCGTTTTTATATTCAATGTTTTATTTATGTAGAACTGCATTCAATCCACAGATATACAATTAGCAAAAATTGGGTTCTGTGGTATATTTTCATATGTCTCAAGTCACAGTATCAATGAAACAACCATCTTCTCAAAAGATGAATTGACTGTAATTTAAATGTTCAATTCCCAACCATCAGCAGCATCAACATGTCCATAGCAAAACATAGGCACAAGTGTGTGTGTGTGTGTGTGTGTTGCATTCACTTGGGAATGTAGCCAGCCTGCAGGAACCAGTGGTAGGCAGAGAGAGCACTGGGTGTGATCTCCTGTTCCACCTGGAAACCTTTCTGTGGGTAGTCACAGATCCTCTCTAGAACACCTGGAACACAAAGTTTACACCTTACTCATAGCATCATACTGTGTCTGTTGTTTCTACACTGCTGTAAGTGAAATGGTTGGCAATTGGATAATATTGACTTTTAGAATATTTGATTTTGAATGCCTTCATACATTCCTGCACTAGAAAGATGACAGGTGGGCTTACCATAGAAATATTTATCTTACATGGTCTAAAGGCTTAAAGACAACACAGAAGTCCTGGGATTATGGACAAAGTACCCGCCTACCATGTATGTGATGAGATCCATGGCAGTGCCCACATTGGGGTGGTGGTAGACAGAGACACCCATCTGGCGGGAGGTAACGATGGCAGGCCACTGCCGCAGGAATGTGGCAAAGACCCTGCGCTCCATAAAGGGCTGCTGGACCAGGATCACCCTGTTGGCTGAGGTAGACATGACAACCACAACCACTAAAGGGTACATGCCAAAAATACACATAGGCATACTGTATATAGGAATCACAGGAGGTTGATGGCACCTTAATTGGGGAGGACGGGCTCTTGGTAATGGCTGGAGCGGAATGGTTTCTATGTGTTTGATGCCATTCCATTTGCTCCGTTCCGGCCATTATTATGAGCCGTCCTCCCCTCAGCAGCCTCCTGTGATAGGAATACAATCATGGCTTGGCCAAAATGTGTTCCAGTGATTCAGTTGTGCTCTCCTGCCCCCTAGCTGTAGAATAACGCTACAACAATAACAGACATTTCTTGTGAAAGGTTCTCCATGTGGTTTTCTCCATCAGTGTGTCTAATGAGGAGAGTCTCACCTGGGATGTTTCTCTCCTTGAGAAGCCTGTAGGAGAAGCAGATGTTGTCTCCAGTGTTGATGGCCTCTGTCTCCAGCAGTATGTTCCCCCTGGGCACTCCCATCGTCAGAGCCACATCCAGGAACACATCAGCCTCTGGTCTCGACCAATACACACATCATAAACAATAAAGACATTGGATAGAAAGTTAGAAATGTGGTATGTGTGCGTGCCTTTGTGCATGAGGGACAGAGAAAGATGCTCAAGTGTCTTGCTGACCTGCAGTCTAGTTGCCTTGGTAACCGGTGAAGAGCAGCCAAGGAGCCCATCCTTCCAGGAAGAGAGCAGCTGACCTCTCCGCCACATGCGGAGACCCAGGCCTATTATGACATCACTCTGAGATATCAGACAGGATTATTATGCAATTTCAGAGACATAAATTATGACATCACTATGACAGGATTATGACATTTCAACAGAGGACACGTAAATTATGACATCACTGAGAGAACATACATGATTATTCAACAGAGACAGCATAAATTGTTACAAAAACCTGAGATAAAATCTAGTTGTATGACATGGAATATGACATCATCCTAAAAGAGGCCAGATCATTATGATGTTATTTTTGGTGAAGCCAGAAGAGCATATCATATCATCTCAAAAGATAATTGGGAAGAATGTAGTGTCATACTGCTTACAATTCTGATTGCAGTTAATTTGAAATGCATCCAGTCAAAACGTATATTATGTGTATGTACAATCAGATATGAAGGCTTGCCTTTTCCAGAGATAGGTGCAGACAAAGGTAGTCCCACAGAACTCTGGCCCACTTCTCACTCTCATTGTCCATTCCTCGCACATGCTGGTCGGTGGGAGAGAAACACACTTCAAAAGCAGAACCAAATGGAATAAACAACAACATGATACTGAATTAATCAATAACAATAAAGTAGACATTTTCACAGGTCAACAATGTCCTCATTAAATACACGTGTGGAGAGGAGGCACTCCACCTCGCCTCAGGCGAGAACAAACAGAACTGTAGTGACGGTCCGTTGCGTTGACAAAGAACATGTGACGCAACAGCAGCATGCACACCACAATAACTGCATCATCTAGATGTGTGTGCAACAAAAGTACAACATTGACCTTCTGCTACCATTTCTGTCAACCCGTTTACACATACAATTTGACGCATACGTTCGATGCACCACACAGAACGTACCACAACTGCCTCTGCAACGCAATGCTGCAAGGCAAAAGCAGCGTTCCATTGGAAATGAATGTACTTCTGGTGTACCAAAACGCAGTCGGTGTGTTGGAAGAAAAATGTATGCACTCACTAACTGTAAGTCGCTCTGGATAAAAGCGTCTGCTAAATGACTAAAATGTAAAAATGTAAAATGTAAGAGGGCAGGTGTCGTTGGTCATCCTTTAAAAGGGCAGAAGGCTGCAGCAGAAGTGGCCAGGTTCAACACGCTGCACTGCACCAGTGTTAAACTCATTAACTCCCCTAATATAATTCATAAGCCATTAAAATTGTCGTTCTATTTCCCATTTGTCCCAAGGATGAAAGCTTTGCACACCCCAGCGGCTCTCTATCCCCGTCTCTCTCTTTCTCCACTGTTCTCCTCCACCTGTCAATGTTTCCTTTGCCCAGGATGCACTGCCAATGTTCTGGCATATTCCACTGCATATTCCACTCTCTAAATTCTATCCAGCTGCTCAGTCTAACTCTCATTGGCTAATGTACATTTCACTCTTTATCCGACCAGCTGATTAGGCCTTCTTTCTCTTATTCGATTCGTTGGTGAGTCTCCTGTAATGCCGCGTTCAAAACAACTGGGAAATCTCCGACTTTAGTGCGTTCAAGACAACTGGGAACTAGGAAAAACGATTTCCGATTAGGAGAAATCGTTTTGAACGGTCATCCAACTCGGAATTCCAAGTCGGAAACTCTGCCATCTTTCTAGAGCTCCGACTTTCTGACCTGAAGATCACTGACGTCATGATTTCACCACATTTATTTCCGAGTTCCTAGTTGTTTCTAACTTGCTTAACATTGACATATGGTCAAACTAGCTACATTCTACATATTGATAAGATTGTAATTGTCAAAAACGGATTTATTGTCATCTTTTGGTTGAAACGGTAAAAGGTCAGTGAGTGAAACGCCACAACTCGGGTAACACAATTTTCTCAGTTTCCACGTTCAAGTGAAATTTCCCACTGGGAACTAGGAGCTTCCGATAATTCTGATAGCACGAACGCGGCATTAGTGTATAACTGGCTTTGTCCATTTTTATTTGACTCTGATTGACTGGTCTCTGAGTGTAGGCTGATGATTGTGTTTCTAAATGAAGTAGAAAGAAGCAGACACAAATCTGAAAGGTCCCAAAGAGAAGGCTCTACTGCTGCACTGTTAACACCTAGCTTTTTCCTACTAACCTGCTTGCACACCCACTCAGGTTTAGATTGGGTGTTTTGTTTTTGTCACGACTAGACCCAACCCCATCCACAACACAAGGGCTACATTTTATTTTATCCCCTTCTATTCTCTCATTCTTTCCCCTTTACATACATTAGCTCCACCTAGTTTCTGCCATATTGCTTTCACCAGTCCTCTTCAATGGGTGGAGGGGAGTAAACGAGGACAGAGGGAAGGGATCAGTTTTTAAAAAATGAAACGCAGCCATGGTGTGCCAGCCCTGACCTGATCTCATTTGCTCTCACTGCCCTCTGGAAATACAGTCACCAGCAGCACACAGTAAACATCTGCCATTGTGCCCGACCAATTGTGTGAGCTACAGTTCATATAAGGAACCCCCCCCCCCATACGGTTCCGCAGGTGAAGAAGCCGGATGTGGAGGTCCTGGGCTGGCGTGGTTACATGTGCTCTGCGGTTGTGAGTCCATTTGGACGTTACTGCTAAATTCTCTAAAATGACATTGGAGGCAGCTTATGGTAAATAAATTAACATTAAATTCTCTAGCAATAGCTCTGGTGGACATTCCTGCAGTCAGCATGCCAATTGCAGGCTCCCTCAAAACTTGGGTCATCTGTGGCATTGTGTTGTATGACAAAACTGCACATTTTAAAAGTGGCCTTTCATTGTCCCCAGCACAAGGTGCACCTGTTTAATTATCATGCTGTTTAATCAGCTTTTTGATATGCCACACCTGTCAGGTGGATGGATTATCTTGGCAAAGGAGAAACGCTCACTAACAGGGATGTAAACTAATTTGTGCACAACATTTGAGAGAAATAAGCTTTTTGTGCGCATGGAAAAAAATGTTTGCTCATGAAACATGAGACCAACACTTTACATGTTGAGTTTATATTTTTGTTCAGTGTAGTTAAAATAAACCAAATGTCTAACGTGTACCACAAAGTGTGTTTCTAGACATCCTAAGGGTTAAAATGTGTGATGTTGATATAAGGGAAAACACTTAACAAGTACATATGACATCACAATAACTATCTGATGTCTTCAGTACTGACCCTTCTACACCGATAATGTAAGTATGACCTCAGTACATGTGTAAATAAAACAATGAGGAATCAGATTTACTGAAATGCATTTAATAAATCATAAATAAATTCCATATTCACAGTTAAATATTTATTTAGTCCTATCATTTGAACAAACTACATTTAGCAGGTGCTGAGCAGTGAGGAAAAGGCATGGAAGTCAGACCTACCACCTGATGGGCATGTCCTCCCCACTGCCCTGTCCATGGGTCAGTAGGTAGCCATCATATAGCTCCCTGAGGTGGAGGATCAGCTCCTCTGTGTTCTGGCCAGTGAGGGCGGACACAGGGATCACCCTGTGGGCCACGTGGCACCGGAGGGCCTCCAGGTTTCCCCGAGCCCCAGGCAGGTCCATTTTGTTGGCTATGATAGCGTGGGGTCGGTGGGAGAGGCCGGGCTCATACATGTCCAGCTCGTAGCGCAGTTGCTGGAGCTGGGTCCAGGGTTCTGGGGAGGACAGGTCCAGAACAAAGAGAAGGAAGCGACAGCGCTCAATGTGGCGCAGGAAGGAGATCCCCAGGCCTCGGTTCAGATGGGCCCCACAGATGATACCAGGAATGTCAGCCACTAGACACAGGGAAAGGACGGTAAACTACAAGACCAACCTTTGTGCCCAACATAATATACAACACGAAGATCAAAAACTCCATTACCTGCCACTTGCTCATGGTCCCTGTAGTTGACAATGCCCACGTGGGGGTTGAGGGTGGTAAAGGGGTAGGCAGCCACAGCAGGCCTGGCATTGGAGATGGCCCTTAGAAGGGAAGACTTCCCTGCATTGGGAAACCCAACCTGGAGTGGAAAACACAAACAAACAGGTAAATCAAGAAAATGTTATACATTTTTGGGGAATAGAGTACATACAATTTATATTTGTACAATATTATTGTAACCAACAAGGCCTAGTCAGTGGAGTTAGTCCCTCTTCCGTGTCTCACCAGTCCGGCGTGGGCCATGGTGCGCAGCTCCAGCTGGAGGACCCTCTCCTGTCCCCTCTCTCCCGGGGTGGCCGTCATGGGGGCGCGGTTCTCATTGGACAGGAAGAAGCGGTTCCCCTTTCCCCCCGCCCCTCCAAACACAGCCACGTACTCCTGGGTGTGCTGGGAGAGGTCTGCCACAGTCTTCCCCTGCTCCTTCACCACCGTGCCCACTGGCACCTGCACCGTCCCAAAACACCATACAACATTCAGTTACACTGTATTTTACAGTCAACATTTTGGTATCTGGTATTTACGTGGCAATTACATGGCAAAATGAAAGTAATAAAAAACATTGTTCATATAAGAGCCCCTAGCTCTTATATGAACACCCCAGCTGTAGTCATGGGAACTAACTCACAGCGATGTAGGTTGTGCTGGCGTTGCGTCCGTAGCAGTTCTTACTGCCTCCTGAATCGCCGTCGTCTCCTTTGTAAACAGGGGCAACCTGCGCCAGGGATTTCACCTGCCGGTCAACTGGAGGCAAGCAAATAACAGATATAGGACTTGAGGGCTTGAAGTATGCATCCGAAAACCGTCTCCATGTCCTGGTTAAAAAATCCCTACAAATTAAAAATGTTATTCGGCCTGATTATATCTTTGTGTGAAATTATGAGCCTATTGTGGATCTCCTGATGATCAAAACGTTGATCTGAATAACCAAACCAGAGCAACTCAGAAGACCAACACTTTGTCACCAGATTATAAACAATGTATAAACAGTTCTGTTTGGGAATAGTGCAACACATGAGAGTGATGGTGTCTCTGACCCACCTTTGATGATGATGTTCCCACCATCTCCTCCATTCCCTCCGTCCGGTCCACCCCACTCTTTCCGGGGCTCACTGTGGAAGGTGCAGGCCCCTTTTCCACCTGCTCCAGCCAGTAGCTTTACATTGCGGTGGTCCACAAAGTGGCGAGTCTGAGCAACAGAGAAGAATGAACATTAACATAAGCTTAGTTAACTAGCTACCTGCAGTCCAGCGTTAACATTAACATAAGCTTAGTTAACTAGCTACCTGCAGTCTATATACAAGTCATTGGTCTAAATTCATATCACACTGGACTGGCATGGCTCCCTTGTTTCATCTTATCTCATAGTGTCATCAATATTTGCTTATCCATGTTTGAGTGTGTGATAGAGCAGTGAAAGCCAGATGTGTCCAGAATTTTCCAAACAAACTAGCTAAGTAGGCTATTGGACATGTAAACAAACCAATTTGTGCATGGCTAGTGTGATGAGGACAAAGGATATGAGATAGGTATCTGCCTAGTATATCATGACATACCAGTTTCTTTTCTGATAGTTCTTTCTTTTTAGATATTCGAGGTTTGGCGCACAATGCACAGGACGTAGTGACGTTCCTGATTCCAGTAGTTTTTCTCTGTGCTGTAAAGTTGCTTCTGAGCCCTAGCAACAAGCTGCCATTCAACTCGTTCCTAACGCAAACTTGTGCAAATATTCGGTTTATCTCTCGGACAAACCATCTTCGGCTTTGAAATTTGGTCAATGTAGTTAACATTGTAAAATAATCAAATGTAATGTCAGAGCATAGACCGTACTTATGTGTCGGAGTGAGACAGCCAGTGTCGCCCTGACCTCGTAACGTTTCGTTAAGCAGGGTTTCCCAAACTCGGTCCTGCCCTTCCCCCGTGCACGTTTTGGTTTTTGCCCTAGAACTACACAGTTGATTCTAATAACCAACTAATCTTCATGACCGATTTTGGGAAACCCCGCGTTAGAGCAGCTGCAGGCTAATGATGTTAGCTACAGCTAGCTAGCGAAGTCACTGTCAATAATAATTAAATCGGCAACAAACATAACAAATTACAACAATAATATATCTAGAGGTTACACAAAACATCGCAATCTTGCAACGCTAAGTAAAATGTAGCTTTTAGATCAAGCTAGCTAGCTGGTAACTATTTTGAATGTCAACTTCAACGAGACATAGCTATGGGAACTACGGAGGGTCAAAAAGCACAGTAAGTCAAAGCGATGGGTCGTTACATTGCTTCTTCATAAAATATACAATGCGGATACAAAACAAGGTGAAAGTCAATGTATTTTACATATTAAAACCGTAACAAAATAAATCCAAGATGAACAAGCAACTAAGCATTCATATTTGGTTTTATATATATATATATATATATAAATCTAATTTTATTGGTCACATACACATATTTAGATGTTATAGCGGGAGTAGCGAAATGTGTTCCTAGCGCCAACAGTGCAGCAGTATCTAACAATTCACAACAATACACACATCTCAAAGTAAAATAATGGAATTAAGAAATATATAAATATTAGGATGAGCAATGTCTGAGTGGCATTGACTAGAATACAGTAGAATACAGTATATACATTTGATATAAGTGAAACAGAATGTAAACATGATTAAAGTGACCAGTGTTCCATTATCAAAGTGACCAGTGATTCCATGTCTATGCCCGCTGCATGATCTCGCCATCACGGTTGACAACTCCATTGTGTCCTCCTCCCAGAGTGCAAAGAACCTTGGCGTGACCCTGGACAACACCCTGTTGTTCTCCGCTAACATCAAAGTGGTGACCTGATCCTGCAGGTTCATGCTCTACAACATTCGAAGAGTATGACCCTATCTTACACAGAAAGCGGCACAGGTCCTAATCCAGGCACTTGTCATCTCCCGTCTGGATTACTGCAACTCGCTGTTGGCTGGGCTCCCTGCCTGTGCCATTAAACCCCTACAATTTATCCAGAACGCTGCAGCCCGTCTGGTGTTCAACCTTCCCAAGTTCTCTCATGTCACCCCGCTCCTCCGCACACTCCACTGGCTTCCAGTTGAGGCTCGCATCTACTACAAGACCATGGTGCTTGCCTACGGAGCTGTGAGGGGAACGGCACCTCCTTACCTTCAGGCTCTGATCAGACCCTACACCCAAACGAGGGCACTACGTTCATCCACCTCTGGCCTGCTAAACCCCCTATCTCTACGGAAGCACAGTTCCCGCTCAGCCCAGTCAAAGCTATTCGCTGCTCTGGCACCCCAATGGTGGAACAAGCTCCCCCACGACGCCAGGACAGCGGAGTCACTGACCACCTTCCGGAGACACTTGAAACCCTACCTCTTTAAGGAATACCTGGAATAGTATAAAGTAATCCTTCTTCCCCCACCCCCCATTAAAAAAAAAGGTGGGTGTCCCACTGGCTATCATAAGTTGAATGCACCAATTTGTAAGTCGCTCCGGATAAGAGCGTCTGCTAAATGATGTAAATGTAAATAGGGCAGCAGCCTCTAAGATACAGGATTGAGTAACCGGGTGGTAGCCAGCTAGTGACAGTGACTAAGTTCAGGGCACTGGGTGGAGGCCGGCTAGTGATGGCTATTTAACAGTCTGATGGCCTTGAGAGAGAAGCTTTCTCAGTCTCTCGGTCCCAGCTTTGATGCACCTGTACTGACCTCGCCTTCTGGATGATAGCGGGCTGAACAGGCCGTGGCTCGGGTAGTTGAAGTCCTTGATGATCAGTTTGGCCTTCCTGTGACATTGGGTAGGCAGTGTTCCCTCGGTGATGCGTTGGGCAGACCGCACCACCCTCTGGAGAGCCCTGCGGTTGTGGACGGTGCAGTTGCCGTACCAGGCGGTGATACAGCCCGACAGGATGCTCTCAATGGTGCATCTGTAAAAGTTTGTGAGGGTCTTAGGGGCCAATCCAGAGGTTGAAGAGGCGCTGTTGAAGGCTGAGCTATAGTCAATGAACAGCATTCTTACATAGGTATTCTCTTGTCCAGATGGGATAGGGCAGTGTGCAGTGCGATGGCGATTGCATCGTCTGTGGATCTATTGGGGCGGTATGCAAATTGAAGTGGGTCTAGGGTGTCAGGTAAGGTGGAGGTGATATGATCCTTAACTAGCCTCTCAAAGCACTTCATGATGACAGAAGTGAGTGCTACGGGGCGATAGTAATTCAGTTCAGTTACCTTTACTTTCTTGCATACAGGGACAATGGTGGACATCTTGAAGCAAGTGGGGACAGCAGACTGGGATAGGGAGAGATTGAATATGTCCGTAAACACTCCAGCCAGCTGGTCTGCGCATGCTCTGAGGACGCGGCTAGGGATGCCGTCTGGGCCGGCAGCCTTGCAAGGGTTAACACGTCTTACTCACGTCGGCCATGGAGAATGAGAGCCCACAGTCCTCGGGACTGACATACATACACACTGCATTAAAAGTAAAAGGCCACAGTACATATCCAATTCACAGGAAATTAATACATTATTATGCAATGTAAAGACGCCTGTGATTGTCACTGTAGAGTTGAGTTAACGTACAGGTGAGCTGTTTGACAGCCAGGTACCTCGATCAGGTGCCCCTCTGTTTATTCCCACTGTCTAGGCAAGTTATGGCAATTTACAGTTGTAATTAGTTGTGCTGTCCCCTTTTGAGATGAATATAAATTCAGCACCATATAGTAAAGTTCCAGTCTGACAGTACTAGGATTATTACAGGGGATATATTACTGGTGTCCTATACAACAAAGCAAACCATGATTTTCAAAAATGATCAAATCTTTTGAGGTAAATAAAAACCGCCACAAAATCTTTTTACAAAATCTCTTTATTGTACATTGTCAAATAAATAATAAGGCAAGTGTGTTTGTGGGACAAACTGATTTGACAATTGTCTTCTATAACACTAAGGACTTACCCCCCAACTTGATCTATGATCACGTCAAATAAAGTAAATTGAGCAAGACAAATGGCAAACTTTTTTGTTGCTGGAAACATTCACCAAACATGTACAGTATGTCATATGCACTCACACACATAGGCTTAATTTGTTTAAACGAAAAATTCCTGTATATGGGCTAAGACAGTTGAAGCAAAATTCAAACCCAATTGGCAAAAATAATATTTTGGGTTATGTACTCAACAAGACACAAGGCTAATAAGACTTTATTTTTGTACCCTAATAGGCTATAGACTCAAAAATGTGTCGTAGCACACAGAACGTCTAATAACAAGCCTACTGATAATCTCACTCTGCTCCAGTGACTGACTCTATTGCTCGTATTGAAAAAGTGTTGTGCCGATTACCAAACACATTCCTCACCCTGTGTGTGCTGTACTTTGGCTGTTTCTTAGAAACAACTTGAATGACAGTATGATAAATAAAACTGCATTACAGAGAATGAAACAGAAAAATAAATCCTGAAACATCTGATAAATAAATAAAATAAATAGTATATAAATAAATAAATATAGGATGGGAAAAGTTCCAATATACAGTTTAAAAAGTAAAAAATAATTTTGCTTAATTAAAAAAATACTTAGTAAAAAAATATAAAGGCAATCAGACAAAATTTTAGAATTAACAAAAGGAGTTGATCATGGACATGGATTTTACATACTGTATTAGTTGTAAGATTATGATGGTTGTTGATACACTATATTTACAAAAGTATGTGGACACCCCTTCAAATTAGTGGATTTGGCTATTTCAGCCCCAACCGTTGCTTACAGGTGTATAAAATCGAGCACACCACCATGTAATCTCCATAGACAAACATTGGCAGTAGAATGGCCTTACTGAAGAACTCAGTGACTTTCAATGTGGCACCATCATAGGATGCCACCTTTCTAGCAAGTCAGTTCGTCAAATTTCTGCCCTGCTACAGCTGCTAGAGCTGCCCCGGTCAACTGTAAGTGCTGTTATTGTGAAGTGGAAACATCTAGGAGCAACAACAGCTCAGCCGCGAAGTGGTAGGCCACACAAGCTCACAGAGCGGGACCGCCGAGTGCTGAAGCGCGTAAAAATGGTGTGTCCTCGGTTGCAACACTCACTACCGATTTCCAAACTGCCTCTGGAAGCAACGTCAGCACAATAACTGTTTGTCGGGAACTTCATGAAATGGGTTTTCCATGGCCAAGCAGCCGCACACAAGCCTAAGATCGCCATGCGCAATGCAAAGCGTCGGCTGGAGTGGTGTAAAGCTCGCCGCCATTGGACTTTGGAGCAGTGGAACGCGTTCTCTGGAGTGATGAATCACGCTTCACCATCTGGCAGTTTGATGGTCGAATCTGTGTATGGTGGATGCCAGGGGTACGCTACCTGCCCGAATGCATAGTGCCAACTGTAAAGTTTGGTGGAGGAGGAATAATGGTCTGGGGCTGTTTTTCATGGTTCGGGCTAGGCCCCTTAGTTCCAGTGAAGGGAAATCTTAGCGCTACAGCATAGAATGACATTCTAGATGATTCTGTGCTTCCAACTTTGTGGCAACAGTTTGGGGAAGGCCCTTTCCTGTTTCAGCAAGACAATGCCCGTGCACAAAGCAAGGTCCATACAGATATGGTTTGTCGAGATCGGTGTGGAAGAACTTGACTGGCCTGCACAGAGCCCTGACCTCAACCCCATCGAACACCTTTGGGATGAATTGGAGCACCGACTGCGAGCCAGGCCTAATCGCCCAACATCAGTGCGCAACCTCACTAATGCTCGTGGCTGAATGGAAGCAAGTCCCCGAAGCAATATTCAAACATCTAGTGGAAAGCCTTCCCAGAAGAGTGGAGGCTGTTATAGCAGCAAAAGGGGGGACCAACTCAATATTAATGCCCATGATTTTGGAATGAGATGTTCGATGAGCAGGTGTCCACATACTTTTGGTCATGTAGTGTAGTTGATGCACACTTGTCAATTCACCAGCTATTGTGCGTATTACCTTACTAAAACATTGGTTCTTCTTACACAGAGAGAGTGGTAACACAAAACAGTCGGTTACACCGCACACTGACCTACACAACTTCACAGTAAACAAAACACAACCTGAACACATCAGGTTGAACACCACAAACAAGCCCCATTTTCACCTTAATCAGAGTACACTTATCATGAGTTAACGCTAAGTTATACTCTACATTAAATAAAAGATGCTGAATGTATTATATTAGATCAATCTTATGTAAATGTGACCAACCTAATTGGCACATTTGCAATTACATTCTTAAAGACAGAGGATAGCACTTGTATTGTGCACCCTGTGAAAGACAAAGACAGAAAAGGAGGATATGAGGGAGCCAGATGGAGGGTGATAGAGGACATAGACCAAGAAAGGAAGACATTTAGAGGCAGGTTTCAAATTTCACATGAGTTTAAAACACTTATGGTGCCCATGTTAATATAATAATGCTATTGAGGGTGCCCCGATTTGTTACCAGATACCTCCCTAATTCAAATCCTCTTATAGAGGGTGAGGAGGAGGAAAAGCAGAGATGAGAGGTGCTTCATACAGGATCTCCTGAACCAGTTCACCTCTACTCAGCTAGAAAATAGTGAACAAGCGGACAATGGAGCTGACAGTCTAGCCTGCTAACCTGTCTCTCAACAAACTAAAAGGATTCAGAGCGTAATCTAACTAATTTACTCAGAGACTGGTTTACACACAACTGTTAAGGGGCATTTACAGAATTGTTCCCTTGCCTAACCTGTCCACCAGTTTGCCCAGGAGGTGGTGCCTTATTGCTGGTAGTTTCCATATTGACCCTAAGAGAGTGGGAGGTAGAAAAGAAAACACAAATATTTAGTCATTTCAGGTCAGCATGAGATGGGGAATACTTTTGTTCATTAATACTTTCTCATGATTAAAAGCAACCCATGGGCATTGCCATTGTGGTAATTTGCGGTGTGAGTTGCCCAATTTACCCAATATTTGGTTGGACAGCACCGTCTTCCTCAAAACGTGGGGTTGGGGTTAGCTGTAGCTGTACCTGTTGGTAGGCATAGGGCCTCTGTGTCTGTGCCCCAGGGGCAGCCTGGGAGGAGCGGTAGGAGCGGGAGGAGCTGTCCTGCTGGCCCTGACCCTGCTGGTACTGGTACGACGCATCCTGACCTGGATCTGGAGACCAAATCAGTCAATCAACCAAGTATTCAATCACACTGACAGATGTAACAGTAAAACAATCATCTTCTCAAAATACCAATTTACTGATTTAATGTTCAATTCCCAACCATCCCAACTATCAGCATCAACATGTCCATAGCAAAACATAGGCAAGTGCGCACCTGTGTGTATGTTCCTTACCGTAGCCCTGTTGCTGTGCGGGGTACTGTTGTTGGCTGAAGGGCTGCTGCTGGCCTGAGCCATGCTGGTACTGGGCTTGCTGCTGACTGTACTGGGAGTTGCCTGGGGGTCAGAAGTAGGAATGTAACTACTTCAAGACTTACTTCAGACTTGTATTAGACCGACTGTAGTTCCTCGTGGACAGATGCACGTAACATAAATAGTAATCAAGCATCTGCAATATTTTAGTTCTGGGTGTCCGAGATTAGGCCTAGTGTGGCACATAGCTACAATATTATCACAACATTAATGCTTATTAGGCATGAGCCTGATGTAGTTTGGGAACATACCTCCTTCGTAGTAGTGCTGTGAGGATTCGTCAAAGGACCTCTCATAGCCCTGTTCACCATAGGACGACTGTTGGTAGGAGTACTCGCCATGACCTGGAGGGGGCAGGAATGAGCACATGCCAAAACCACTCTATTAAAAACAATGTGGGTCATTGGTCCTCTCACAGTTCATAAAAAGCTTATACATACATAGGTGTGCACCCATAAGATGACAAGAGCACAAACAGATATTTGCCGTGCCTCGGACACTCAAATACAAACTCACAAACAAACAAACAAAGCACACACAAACCCCCTACAATCAGTTGGAGCTCTGGCCTGAACAATGAAAAAAAAGGGACATCTGCAAGTTTAGGTACACCAAAGGGGAACACTATTGACAGACACACCGGGAGGAAACAGTTCTGGGACCAACCTCTGCACTTTGCCATAACAATCATAATCCATCCATATTATGACCGTACAAAAGACTCCCATTAAACTCCCACATGAAGATAAAGACAAGACAAGAAGCCAGAGGATTGATATATTGAGTTCAGCGCTGCAGTATTACTTGAAGACAGAGCAGTGTGATGACATGTATATGTGTGTGTGTGATTGAGATGTCTGAAAAGTGTGTATGTGTTTTGGAGTGGTTGTGTGTGTGAGGGTCAAGTCTCTGAATGATTACCATCAGGGTAATACTGCTGGTTTATAGGCTCACTGGAGCTCTGAGTGTGTCCATACTGCTCTCCATAGAACTCGTCTTGTCCCATGTACTGCAGTGCACATCCTGCAAGACAGGCGACACCAGGATTGGTTAATCAGCTGGTCCGACCAATGGGCCTCTGTTGGTGACTAAAGGGGGCTGGGGCACTTTGGCAGTTGGAGAGTTGGAGGGGAGTGTCTGCGTGTTTGGTTTTACTATCCTTGTGGGTACCAGAAGTCCTCACAAGGATAGTAAGACAAGGAAAATTCAGACAAGTGGGGACATTTCACCGGTCCCAATAAGGAAAATGACTATTTTAGGCTTAGGGGTTAGGTTTAGGGTTAGAATTAGGGTTAGGGGTTAGATTTAGGAGTTAGGGTTAGAGGTTAAGGGTTAGGTGTTAGGGACAATAGGATTTGTGATTCAAATGTTTGGTCCCCACAAGGATTGTAAAACAAATGTGTGTGTGTATGTGTGTGTGTGTGTTGGTTCTTCTGTCTTTGTGGGGACCTAAAATCCCCCAAACAAGGACAATTCTTCCTTGTGGGGGCATTTCCCACATCCCCATGAGGACAAGGCTATTTTAAGATTAGGGGTTAGGTTCAAGGTTAGGGTTACAATTAGAGTTAGAATTAGGATAAATGGTTAGGTTTAGGGTTAGAAGTTAGGTTTAGGGCTGGGGTTAAGGTTAGGGACAATAGGTCCCCACAAGGATAGAATAACAAAATGTGTGTGTGAGAGAGTGAGTGAGTGTGAGAGAGAGAGAGAGAGAGAGAGAGAGGCATGAGAGGAGAGGCACGATGTGTGCCTGCGTGCATTAGTAGTGTGTGTCTGTGCATATGAGAGACAGAGAGAGAGAGAGAGAGAGAGAGAGAGAAGACAAACATTGGCAGTAGAATGGCCTTACTGAGAAGTGCCGTCTTATGGGTGCAAATTATGTCATGAGAAGCTTTTTTGTGGTTGAATGACTGAAGTTCAAGTAAATTTAGACTGAATACATGATAGTGTAGGAGGCGTTAAGTAGACTGAAGTCTCTTGTTGAAACCCACGTATTCTGGTTTTCACTTATTTTGTTTCCGAAGGATGGCTATTCCCTACTGTATCTGAAATGTGAATTGGTAATGTTTGTCATGGGAAGAAAATGCATCTAAGAACTGAAGGATTTTGGCTACCATTTGAGTCCAGTCATTCTAATTTCAGAATGTTCAGCCCTATCCAAACCATGATCTGAAAACTGATAGAATTCTATGAGAATTAAATGAAATATGACTTTCTGAAAAGACCAATGACTGAGAGGGAAGGTTTTAGAAATCCCAGTGGGTCAATCACATGAGAAAGCAGTGGTGGTGGTGGTGGTGTTGGTGTGGTTGTGTTGGTGGTGGTGTTGGTAGTATTGGTGGTGGTGGTGTTAGTGGTGGTCTTGGTGGTGTGCAAAAACTCCAGATGCCACTCCTTCCCTTTACATCACAAACCTCCAACTCAAAAACCAAATATATTTATTTCTGTTGCCAGATGTATTGCTGGAAATATCACTGTATCTGCAAGACAGAAACTTACAGTCTCGCAAAATATAAATATTCTACAACATATTGATCCTATGACGTAATGCAAAAGGACCATTATCACAGTAGTCAACAGCTAGAGAAGAAAGAATCTTCCATGGCAAAAAAAAAGCCCTATTCAAGTCGGAAGTTTACATACACCTTAGCCAAATACATTTAAACTCAGTTTTTCACAATTCCTGACGTTTAATCCTAGTAAAACTTCCCTGTCTTAGGTCAGTTAGGATCACCACTTTATTTTAAGAATGTGAAATGTCAGAATATTAGTAGAGAGAATGATTTATTTCAGCTTTTATTTCTTTCATCACATTCCCAGTGGGTCAGAACTTTACATACACTCAATTAGTATTTGGTAGCATTGCCTTTAAAATTGTTTAACTTGGGTCAAACGTTTCGGGTAGCCTTCCACAAGCTTCCCACAATAAGTTGGGTGAATTTTGGCCCATTCCTTCTGACAGAGCTGGTGTAACCGAGTCAGGTTTGTAGGCCTCCTTGCTCGCACACGCTTTTTCAGTTCTGCCCACAAATGTTCTATAGGATTGAGGTCAGGGCTTTGTGATGGCCACTCCAACACCTTGACTTTCTTGTCCTTAAGCCATTTTGCCACAACTTTGGAAGTATGCTTGGGGTCATTGTCCATTTGGAAGACCCATTTGCGACCAAGCTTTAACTTCCTGAATGATGTCTTGAGATGTTGCTTCAATATATCCACATCATTTTCCTTCCTCATGATGCCATCTATTTTGTGAAGTGCACCAGTCCCTCCTGTAGCAAAGCACCCCCACAGTATGATGCTGCCACCCCCATGCTTCACGGTTGGGATGGTGTTCTTCGGCTTGCAAGCCTCCCCGTTTTTCCTCCAAACATAACGATGGTCATTATGGCCAAACAGTTCTATTTCTGTTTCATCAGACCAGAGGACATTTCTCCAAAAAGTACAATCTTTGTCCCCATGTGCAGTTGCAAACCGTAGTCTGGCTTTTTTATGGCGGTTTTGCAGCAGTGGCTTCTTCCTTTTTGAGCGGCCTTTCAGGTTATATCGATATAGGACTCGTTTTACTGTGGATATAGACACTTTTGTACCTGTTTCCTCCAGCATCTTCACAAGGTCCTTTGCTGTTGTTCTGGGATTTATTTGCACTATTCGCACCAAAGTACGTTCATCTCTAGGAGACCGAAGCGGTATGACGGCTGTGTGGTTCCATTGTGTTTATACTTGCGTACTATTGTTTGTACAGATGAACGTGGTACCTTCAGGCGTTTGGAAATTGCTCCCAAGGATGAACCAGACTTGTGGAGGTCTACAATTTTTCTGAGGTCTTGGCTGATTTCTTTTGATTTTCCCAGGATGTCAAGCAAAGAGGCACTGAGTTTGAAGGTAGGCCTTGAAATACAGTCGTGGTCAAAAGTTTTGAGAATGACACAAATAAACATTTTCACAAAGTCTGCTGCCTCAGTTTTTATGATGGCAATTTGCATATACTCCAGAATGTTATGAAGAGTGGTCAGATGAATTGCAATTAATTGCAAAGTCCCTCTTTGCCATGAAAATGAACTTAATCCCAAAAAAACATTTCCACTGCATTTCAGCCCTGCCACAAAAGGACCAGCTAACATCATGTCAGTGACTCTCTTGTTAACACAGGTGAGAGTGTTGACGAGGACAAGGCTGGAGATCACACTGTCATGCTGATTGAGTTAGAATAACAGACTGGAAGCTTTAAAAGGAGGGTGGTGCTTGAAATCATTGTTCTTCCTCTGTTAACCATGGTTACCTGCAAGGAAACACGTGCCGTCATCATTGCTTTGCACAAAAAGGGCTTCAAAGGCAAGGATATTGCTGCTAGTAAGATTGCACCTAAATCAACCATTTATCGGATCATCAAGAACTTCAAGGAGAGAGGTTCAACTGTTGTGAAGAAGGCTTCAGGGCGCCCAAGAAAGTCCAGCAAGCGCCAGGACCGTCTCCTAAAGTTGATTCAGCTGCGGGATCGGGGCACCACCAGTGCAGAGCTTGCTCAGGAATGGCAGCAGGTAGGTGTGAGTGCATCTTCACACACAGTGAGGCGAAGACTTTTGGAGGATGGCCTGGTGTCAAGAAGGGCAGCGAGGAAGCCACTTCTCTCCAGGAAAAACATCAGGGACAGACTGATATTCTGCAAAAGGTACAGGGATTGGACTGCTGAGGACTGGGGTAAAGTCATTTTCTCTGATGAATCCCCTTTCCGATTGTTTGGGGCATCCGGAAAAAAGCTTGTCCGGAGAAGACAAGGTGAGCGCTACCATCAGTCCTGTGTCATGCCAACAGTAAAGCATCCTGAGACCATTCATGTGTGGGGTTGCTTCTCAGCCAAGGGAGTGGGCTCACTCACAATTCTGCCTAAGAACATAGCCATGAATAAAGAAGGGTACCAACACATCCTCCGAGAGCAACTTCTCCCAACCATCCAAGAACAGTTCGGTGACGAACAATGCCTTTTCCAGTATGATGGAGCACCTTGCCATAAGGCAAAAGTGATAACTAAGTGGCTAGGGGAACAAAACATCGAAATTTTGGGTCCATGGCCAGGAAACGCCCCAGACCTTAATCCCATTGAGAACTTGTGGTCAATCCTCAAGAGGCGGCTGGACAAACAAAAACCCACAAATTCTGACAAACTCCAAGCATTGATTATGCAAGAATGGGCTGCCATCAGTCAGGATGTGGCCCAGAAGTTAATTGACAGCATGCCAGGGCGGATTGCAGAGGTCTTGAAAAAAAGGGTCAACACTGCAAATAATGACTCTTTGCATAAACTTTATGTAATTGTCAATAAAAGCCTTTGACACTTATGGAATGCTTGTAATTATACTTCAGTATACCATAGTAACATCTGACAAAAATATCTAAAAACACTGAAGCAGCAAACTTTGTGAAGACCAATACTTGTGTCATTCTCAAAACGTTTGACCACGACTGTACATCCACAGGTACACCTACAATTGACTCAAATTATGTCAATTAGCCTATCAGAAGCTTCTAAAGCCATGACATCATTTTCTGGAATTTTTCAAGCTGTTTAAAGGCACAGTCAACTTAGTGTATGTAAACTTCTGACCCACTGGAATTGTGATACAGTGAATTATAAGTGAAATAATCTGTCTGTAAACAATTGTTGGAAAAATTACTTTTGTCATGCACAAAGTAGATGTCCTAACCGACTTGCAAAAACTATAGTTTGTTAACAAGAAATGTGTGGAATGGTTGAAAAACGAGTTTTAATGACTCCAACCTAAGTGTATGTAAACTTCCGACTTCAACTGTATGCACACTCAAGTTCTGTGTTTTTGTCTTATTTCTTGTTTGTTTAATAATACAAAATATTTTGCATCGGTAGGCATGTTGTGTAAATCAAATTATACAAACCCCCAAAAAATCAATTTTAATTACAGGTTGTAAGGCAACAAAATAGGAAAAATACCAAGGGGGGTGAATACTTTCGCAAGCCACTGTATGTATATGTATGTATGTATGCATATTTT